GACTACCATGTTCATACATTTCATAAAATATTGCATTTTCAAACAAATTTCACAAATTTTTGTTTCACAAGTTGCAAGCAATACAGATGCTAGAGTAGTATACGTAGAGAGAATTTGATGGAAAAATAATAATTGAAAAAATGCCTAATATTTAACTTTTCCAATAGACAACAGGAATTAAAGCCGACAAATTTAAGGATAAAAGAAAATGCATTCAAATTTTCTCACGAAGATAAAAGCAGAACTTATACAACTCATTTCACAAACCTCAGCTGCCCGTAAAAATCATTTATGTATAGCAGCAAAGCTGTTTACTATCTCACACAATTCACTTCTCCCATGCAAGAGCGAAAAAAAAAAAATCGATTCATTTGTCAGTTGAGATTGAAAATCTGTGCCGGCCACAAATGTTTTTGACCGCCGGGCCCAATTCCCGTGAGCTCCATGGAAATGTCTATGCTACGGTGTTGAGAAGCTCTGACTATACTTAAACGAGACTGTATCTTCGTGGCAGGTAAAAAATTCTTACCATCGGTAACCGCCACTGGTTTATGTGGGCACACCATTGCAATGGGCTCTCTGAATGTGAGGACAGTTTGTGACCAGTGTGTGCTCAGATGATAAGGTGATGTGGATAAGACAACTGGCTTTTCGCGACAAAATCTCTCAGTAAATCCAGTTTCGAACCACAAGACAAGGCCATGGCACCAAGTAACCTCGTTTGGTTCTTTTGACTTTGGTTCTAGTTCGACTACAGCTGTAAAATCCATTTGCTTCGGCTGCATGGTCACCAGATCAAAGGACTGAAAAGATAAAAAAACTTTCATTCAGATTCCCAAATATGGTAAGTTGTCAGAAAAAAAAGGATAATAGATCAAAGGATAAAAGCGATGCATAGTCTCTATGCCCAGAAAGTGCCGAAAAAAAATGAATTTGTCAAACTGCCTGCATAAGTGTTCCATCAAACACAACAAAATATTAAACTTTCTTAGCTAAATTTTTAAGGTACTAATTTCAGATTCGTTTAGTTTCTTTAGCCTTTTCCAGGGGGCTCTAGATTTTCTAATTTTCAGCTGTGCTACTCGTATCTTTAGAAAGCAGTAAAAAGAAAAAAAAAAAAAAGAAACCAGTGGTGGTACAGTGAGTTTTCTCATCCACTATTATTCGCCTTTTAATTAGAGGACCGACAATTTTATCCATAAGCACCTTCACTTTCGACTTGACTAACATGGTCAATGTGCAAGATGACGTATAACTAGTAACTACATTTGAATTTTAGTATGAAATGCTGAAAAGAAGCATAATTCTTCATAAAAAAACTAAAGAATGGCTATCAGACATAAACCTGAAGAACTTCAGTGCTTGTGACAATATTGCAACTGTCTATCACATCAACAATAGGAACCTGAGCAGCACCTTCATCAACCTCCCGACCAATACAAGACATATTAAAACCATACACATTCTCCCAGAATGGGATACTGGTGGCTCCTCTTCCAAATCCAGCTACAAACTGCAAATAAAAACAGTCAAAACTATTTATTACAATTTACAATAAAAGGATGAACATTATTTTTTACCAAATTAATTTTTTTAAAAAAATCAAGAACTACTCTGTACCATGGTAGCTGTGTCAGGGAGAATGGCGCCTCCAGGTTTCAGCCACTTATCCCGAGCAAACAGTACAGATGTGAGCATTGATTCATAAAGCAGACAATATCCCATCCACTCACTGAACAACACATCCACACTCTGCGGTTGGATTTGATCATCATTGTCTAGTTCTTCAACCATGCCTTGAACCACTTCAATAAAACCATTTTGTCGACTGCCGTCACTAATTATTCCGTTTTGCAGAAAGCCATTGTCTTTTGCAATCTGCACCAGCTTAAACTCTTTATTAAACAGGAAAGACCAACTATACACATTACAATAATCTATGATAAGGAAGATAAATATTTGATAAGAAGAAAATTTACCTGAGTAGCTACTGCAGCCATCTTATCGCTGGCTTCAATTGCAATAACTCTTGAAGCTCCTGCTTGGGCTGCAAATAGGCTAGTAGAAAAGAAGGGGATGAAATCTCAGCTATCAAAAAAAAAAGTATGATCACTTCAACTATATACTAAAAAAAAGGTAAAGAATTCTATTTTCCAAGGCACATCTGTATTGAAGTATATAAACAATGAATTCACGTGAAATCAAACATAATGTGGAGTACTTTTGCACCTTAGAATGCCTGTCCCACAACCAACGTCCATAACAACTGCATTTCTTAGAAGAGAAGGATTTTCCAAAATAGCTTGTCTGTAGGCGTCTGTTCTCACCTGCATATTATTGATGATATCATCACGAATTATGAATATGTGTGCTTGTTCCTCAAAAAAACATACCAAGAGTTCACATTTCAGACTTCAAGCTCCACAGTACCTTGTCACTTATCATCTCTCTGTGAATGCCGAATGAACCGTATGAGCTAAAATATTTCTTGTTGATATGCTTGACTTCATCAGCTGCTATCGCCATTGAAGGGTCTGCATTTGACTCAATTTTTCTATTTCTACAGGACAAAAAGCCACCATTAGTGGTATTTCCATTACCAACTATTAGACCTTCCAAAGGCTTTGCAGCAGCACCCTTTCCCCCATTTTCACAAGGAATTACAAGCTCAGGTGCACTAATGTCTGAAGTACCCTCATCATGCATATCAATAGGCTCAAACCGAGACATATATGATGCTAGTTCTTCCCTGTCAAGGGGCATTACTCCCCCCTCATCATCATCGTCATCCTCATCAAAACTGTATAGAAGTGAGTCATCTTGCATAAAAGGTATGAGATATTTATCATCATCCCACGGAAAAGTGCTCCCATCGAAGTTAGCTGACTCATGTAAGTGCTTTTGCAAGTCTTTCTTGGATATGCAAGTCGTTCCACAACTCCAGCATTTGTTTATTGCCACCTGTACATGAAAGAAAAGGATGATAAATTACAGTGACTCAGCATATAACCACCATACATTGGAAGGACTTCAATATTAACTTTAGTTTCATGTGGTGGTAAAATTTACAAAAGCAACATCTCATTGATGCCTTCAATCTTATATCTCATTTTATAAAAATGTTAGTAGATTACTGCCTAGATACATACGGAAACTAGATGTGGTTTCCTGTGCACCTAATATTACTCACAGTAACATTTTCTTAGGAATTTTGTATATGTCCCAATGAAAACTTTCTTTGTAAAATCAACCTAGAAATGACAGCAAGATGTTTGAGACTTTGAGGCACATGGTACGTCAGTCAGTCTTTTGCCTCCACTACACCTCTAACAGGAAAAAGAACTCTGCAGACTAAGGGCGTGCATGAACAAAACCAAAATCCTGACTTGGATGAGGATGAACTCAATTTTCAGTTTCCCAGAATTTTAGGGTATGTTCGCATACAAAAAATTTCACAAAAATTCCAACATTTTAACTCAACCACTTTTTTTAACTCAACTTTAACTCAACCCCACTATCATCAGTATTATCAATATAATTAAATAATATCAATCAATCATTCATACACACACATGAACCTTAATCCACTCTTCATACACTCACATTATTTTAATTAACCATTACTTCAAATCATCTCTCTCCTACTTCTACATCAAATCATTTTTAATTATTTTATTTTAAATATTATTTTAATATACCCACTAACAACTAATCATACCACTTTTTTCAAAATTAACCAAACCAAACCAAAAAATTCAACACCACCAAAATTTTTTATATCCAAATTAGTATCTGATTTCGCTTCAGTATATGGTTTAGGTTCATTGGATCAAATATTAAAGGATTATTAACTTTTTTACCTTTTATTTTTTTGGTAACTCCTTGACTTGCTTTTCAATCTTGAGCAGTTGAGCTTTGACCAGACATTCGGTTTACATGTTGATGACTTCAATTATTTTTGTAATAGACCTAATTAAAATCACTTTCATATCAAATTTAGCAGTATGACTTACCACTATTGATATGATTTAGAGAGGCAAAATGAATTAACACCGCATTCTCAGACTTGACAAAAACCTAAACTTAAAAGTCCAAAGCAGAAATATAAAAGATAACTAATCAACTGCACAATCCCATAAGTCATATAGAGTATCAGACAATCAGTTTAACGTCTCCCTGCTACATATAAACTACGGTATACTTTGTTCCCAAAAAAAAAGGGCAACAAACCTTCACAGAGAAAATACAGCTTAAAACTTTCAAAATGTGAGCACCCCAAGAAAGGACAAAACAAAAGGGATAAATACAGACAATCACACGCACAACTTAGCTGAGCTCAACTGTCAACTCGTGGATGACGTATCCACATACAAAAAGAGCTACAAATATCTCTTGCAAATCACCACAGAACAAAAACCCTAACCCAAAAATGTCCAAAAACTACCGAATATTAACAATGAGAGCATATACGCATACCTGAGACCTGACGAAATTAATGAACTTAAAGCACTTGTAAAAATCCAAGCTATAAGCTTTCTTGATTGCAAAAAAATCGAAGAAATGGGCCGAGACGCAGTGCTGGAACAGGGAAATGCAGGAATCGTATGAAGAGTCACAGAACAGACATAGCAACTGAGGGTTCGAGCCTTGTTCCTCCACGGCATCGTCGTCGTCTTTCCACTCATCCCAATTGTGGTCCTCGAGCTCCTCTTCCGAGTCGGAATCGGATGTGTGTCGTAATGCGCCTACTTGGGCGTCGTTTAGTTTATCTTCGTCTTCTACAAGGTGAGTCGCCATTGGCAAACGATAGGTGCAGCTGGACGGGAAGTTTCTGGTCAGCGGAATTTCTGTTTGCTCTTAAACCCTAAAACCCTTCCAACGGTTTGGACTCACCCGGTTCACTACAGTTGGAGATTGGGACTTATCAAATACACATGGACACGTGTAAGCGAGTTGATATCGAGCTTCTCTTCGAGCTTGAACTCAAACCTATAACACGCTAACTTGAGTGGTTAACGAGTTAATAAATGAATTTGAGTTCAGTTTGTTTGTCAATACTAACGACTCATAACTTAAATCTTAATGACATCAGCTACAGTAAAAATTTAAAAATCTATTACAATATATATAGACAATTCTTACTATTTTTAGTAAGTTCTCATGGCGGCAGTTATACTTTTGTCACCGGTGGTGAGGGAGGCACAACGGCGGCAGGACCAACAATGTTGTCATGTTGCCTGGCGGAGCCACTGATGACAGAGATGGCGGCGAGCTGAAAACAAAGGCGGCGGCGGCGACGATGTAAGCGTTTTGCGGCGGCAGCGAACGGCTACTTTCGGTGGCCTTGCGCGATTCTGTGTGCGGCGTCGTGTGGAGGGCTAAGGAGAGGGTCGAATAGTGTGTGTATGTGTATGGGCCTCTAAGTGTGTATGTGTGTGTGTGTGTGAGAGAGAGAGAGAGAGAGAGAGAGAGAGAGAGAGAGAGAGACAACTATGATGGGTGTGGTGGTAGGGTTCACTGATGTGGGTAGATGCAGGGTGGACCCACAGGGGGGCTTGCAGGGGCATGTGACCCTGTGGTGTGAGAACTCTTAATATGTATATATATAAGATCTCTTAATATGCATATATATATATATATATATATACTAGTTGGATCACGCAGTGCACGCACGGCGGACTCAAATTTAGTCTAAAAATAGAATAAAAGTTTTTCATTAGTTGTAATGATCAATCAAGTTCATGTCCATTTTTTACACTGGTTGTTAACAAAATAAGCTTTCACCTTAAAGGACTCATTACATAGCTTTATAGGCAATTGTTTCAGTTCAATTGTTGGCAACTCTCTACATATATTATGCTTCTACATATATTATGCCCGTTAAGTTGACATGGTCTCAAATGAATCAATAGTATTTGAGAAGAGGCGATGCTTTTAAAGTTTTGGTATGCAGTGAAAGTTTGTCGTCTATGCACGCACAACTGATTTAAATTTAGTCTATAATGGACAATGACCATCATAATAAATTAAGCTAACAATGACACTACAAACAAGAAAATAGAGAAGTAATAATGCCCAAAACAGAGTACAACAGGATTCTTGAAATCATAAACATTCACATTCACATTCACATCCTAATCTATAAGAGTCAACTAAGCACATTATAAAAATAAAATTGCATGTTTAAATTTTGCAAAATTATCACTACTCGCCTTAGTGCCAATACTCACGGCAGCATGACCAGCGCACACTCAACCAAGGACCACCAGCATCCACCTAAAGCCAAAAAACAAAAAAAAAAGGTTAACAAACTTAATCCCTTTCTCACAACACTCCCTCTTAACATACATCCAGTGATAGACAATCGAGTGCTAATACAGACAATCAAGACAGTTCATAGTATGTTTGTAGAGAAAAATGCACTTAACATCAAGTGCTAATGACTTTTCTCAAGAGAATGATTCCAAATGCTAACCAATCACAAAATGTACTGAAATAACTTTCACCAATTGCACTCCTTGATGTAAATGAATTGGGCTTTTAGGATTCAGGTTCCAAGCAAGTTTGTAATGCTCTAGGAAATTCTGTATTATAATCTTTTGATTGTTCCTTTTTCAACACATACCCTCAAGCCCAGATGCAAAACTCAGGAACCAATGATGAATAATTAGAACTTAGAAGGCTAAGTTGAGTTTGAACTAACAAAATTGAAAAAAACAGTGTGAACTAAGGAAAAAAAGGAAAGTAAGAAAAGGGAGGAATGATCAATACCACTGTCTAATGATCAATACCACATATCAAACAAAACAAATCCACCAGCAAACAAGAGAATAAATCAATGCACAAACAACTTAATTATACATCACCACAATCAGTTCTTCCATTGTTGTTCAAACTGTAGCTATACATAACCAAAGCCGCATCAAAACAAATCCCTAGCTAGGGTTTATCATGACTAACAAAGTGACTGTAAAAGAAAAAAATAAGAAAATCACCAGATAATCGAATGAATAGAGAAAGATTCAGAACCTGCTCGTGATATTGCTCGACGAAAAGCACCGAATTTTGACTTTTGCAACCCCTTTGATATCCGTTGCGACGCTAAAAATCTGAGATGCCACCTCGTCCGAAATGCCGGCCCAAAATCAAAATGAAAACCAAGATCGATAAACAAGAGACCCAAATTTCAAAATAAAACCAAAAAAATACTCCAAATTTACCCCCCAAAACATCAAAAATAAAAAGTTACAAAACAAAATACAGCTGAAAATCTGATCGTCCGTGGAGTTCATCGGCGATCTGATTAGATATTTCGTTGATTTCTTCTTCATAGTTCTTCTCTCGCTCGTAGCCATAAAAGATAATTTGGGACCCGTTCGGACTAATTCTTCTAAGGATGCTGGTGCTGGATTTTTCGGCTCCATGGAGAATTGTGAACTTCTTGATTTCGGTCAGTGGTGGTGGCGGTGGCCGGGATGCGTGTTGTTGAGATCTTTCTGGTGAAAATTGCGGTGAAGGGATGGAATCCTTCGCGATGGCGGCGGTGGGTGTGGTCTAATCAGGTGAGGCGTTGTCTTTCTAAGGTGATTGAGGTGGCGGCGGAAGGCTGAGCTGGTGGTGGTGTTTGGGGCCGCCTGACGTGAATCCATTGGGAAAGAAAAAAGAGGGTTAGGATTTGAAAATGGTGGAAAATGAATTGCTTTTCTCATCTCTCTTGCCTTTTGTCTTTTCTAGACAACAAACACGTCTCCCAGACAACAAGCACGTCTCCTAGCAGATTTTGAGGGAGCAAATCCCGCAAGAAACCTGCACAAGAACAGAATACATATAAAATGACTTTCACAACCCCCAAAAAGTTGAATACATAAGGGTATTTGAGTAAAAAGTACTCAAAAGTACAAAAGACATTCAATTTACCATATTGATCTTCAAAATTAGGAATCCTTCCAGTTTTTCTCGACATCTACTCTGAAACGGGTACCAGTCGGACATGTGATTGGCTCCGTCTTTCTCACAACCTTTTGGGCCTCAAGTAATAATAACCATAATAATGATAAAACGAAATGACCAAATGTATCATGTAAAAGTATTCAAACTAAAAAAAAAAAGTGAAGCATCCCCTTTTTTTATCCACTAACAGTAATTGTTGTTAAGAGAACCACAATGGAATCTCTCAATCTTTGTTTAGGTTAATCAAGAACATTGTAAAAGGAAAATAAGAAAAAAAAAAAAACAATAAATAGGAACCTAACCTTACGAAGATGGTACTTTTTGTCCTCCGTAGCTCCATCATCTAGCTTACAATTATACCAACAATCGCCATAAACCGGAGGACTACCATGTGGGTCAGAAGAAGGACCGTAAAATCAACAAATTATCCCTAAATCTCAATGTAAGTAACCCTACACCTAAGACCGTAGAAACCGAACCGCAAAATACATTCAATAGAAAGTAAAAGGATTCACAGATTTTTTAACAAATGCAACCAAACAACTCAATTCTAGATAAAAGCACAAATTATGGTTTTTTAGGATATATATTATCCAGGTAACTACACCCCCCAAAGACAGACATACACACACACACACTCGTACGCACGGTAGAAAAAGAGGCAAATACAAATGGAAAAAATAATATAATGACGCAACAATTACCCCATTAAGACGGGGGTGACCCGAATCAGGAAAATGCGGCGGCTGACGGCGGAGCTCCTTGCCCACGGCGTGGCTCAGTGGATTCCCATCACGCCATAGAATCGTGCACCTTCAAGCTCTTCAACTAGTATCCCTACGCCACGACCCTAGACTCCTCCGATTCCTCCTCAAGGCCGGGCGACAGCTCCCACAGCAAGCGCCCTATTGTCCGACCGTGCCACCTCCCCCTTCTCCATCGGTGCCGTCCACTCCACGAACAGCGAGTTTCGATTTCATTGATTTTCTGTTGCAGAAGCCGGCGAAAGATAGAGAGAGGAATAATTTCGATTCTTCAATAATTCGGCCAGGGTTTGAAGGAAAAGCGAGAAATCATGTTTGGTCCCGTTTTGACCAGATTTTTTTTTAACCACGAAGATATCTAAAACTTCTATGGCATTTTCGTTAATAAGTGAAAGAAGGTGTCAAAAATCTGCAATGAAAATGGGTGGCAAAATTGTAATTAAAGCAGGACACTTGTCAGTATTTTAAGACACCAAAATTGGACACGTGTCGCCTTTGAAGGTATATCATTTCTTCATATATAGATAAAAGGTGCTTGTACAACACTCATGTATTACATGGGTGGCAACGGTGCCTCGTTTATGGACGGATTCATAAAAGTGGGATGGGTATCCGGACAAGTCAAATCTAAGACCGTCCCGGCCGACGCCCACCCTTACCATAAATAATCAATATATTATAGATAATCCGAACCTAAATATATTTGGATTAGAAGTAAACTAAATCTATCCAAGCCTAATAACGAAGCATGTATTTTTGCCACATAGGATCCCGAAGCATGCGAGCCTGCCACATAGGCTCAGCACGTTCTCAATTAATATATAGGGAGGGATATCACTTCTTCATATATAGATAAGAGAGATATATATATGTATATAAGCAGTAAGATGTATATATATTTTTTAATTATATTAACATGTAGGCCCCCAATACAACTTTACAAAGTCAATTTTTTTCTCCCATTCCAGCAAAATGCCGCTCCTACATATTCCTCATTTCCTCTTCTTTTATTTTCTCTCCCAGTCGACACCTACCAAATTTCGATGCAATTAACAGGAAAAGAACATGAATTACAATAATCAAAGTGGTTTGAACTTCTTCTTTCTAAGTTAGCTATCAATTTTTATTTCAAAATGTATGGTTTATTTAATTATTTTCTAGTTTTTATAACCTTAAATTTGTATTTGGGAATTTTTAAAATTGATGTAATTTTTAATTCAGGGATTTCATGATTTTGATATTGTGCCCCCCTACTTTTAAATGTCTGTGTCCGCCCCTGGGTAGATGGTAGGTGGTTGGGAAATCTCTAGTGTCCTTAATGAATGTAAAAAATGTTGGCTTATTTTATCGTTAGATCATCCGAATGTAGAATGTATGACTAAGATTCATTCTCATTTCTTTCATTGAGTACCATTCTCACTTCAACCCAACCCTGTATATATGTGTGTGTGTGTGTGTGTGTGTGTGCATGTGTTTGTGTTTGTGAGCTTAAAATAGTATTTATAGTTTTTCACTAATCATTTTAGCTACTAAAAAAGGAAATTCTATAGAATTTTTTATATTTCTCTTTTTTTTTCTTTTTAGCATTGTATATTTTATCAAAAATAATATTTCTTTAAAAGCATAAGTTTTATTAATATGCATAAAGTAAGAAATAATTCATTTATAATATATTTTTATTTATTATAAACATTTGTTGCATGAACTATTTCATAAAATTAATATATTTAAGAAAAAATAAGAAAAATTATTTGGATCAGGTGATGGGCAGGTTGATTAAATTATTTTAGGTGATATTTTAAATAGTGCAAAATCACGACACAACTAGGGTTGATACTTGGTCACGGGTCAGTTTGACCAAACCAAATCGATTATTGAAACTGGATAGAAAATATAAAATTAGAAATACTTTATTACGACAAATGTAATTGAATCCAAGCTCTAATAATATTTTTATGGAAATATGTTTAGTGATTTACGAATTTTTATATATCTTTTTAGTACCATTTATGTAAACTAAATGATATTTAATTACAAGTTTTATTAATATATAGTAAATAAAAGTTTCTCAAAACATAACCATCATTGACCGCGCGTCGCAACGCGACAAAATTATAACTTATATTTTTCCTCAACTAACCCCTACTAACTAGTAGTAGTGGCGAGCAAGGGTCGATCCCACGAGGAGTGTGAATCAAATTGTGAATTTTATCATATTAATTGACGTTATAAAAAGCAATAAAAGAGGGGGGTTTTGGATTTAATAGCTAAACTAACTAAAATAAATAAAATCTAAACAAATAAAAATAAAAATAAATAAATGAAAAGAACTTTCTAGTTCACGGTTCCGTCTACACCCTCACCGACTCGTCTAATCAACTTTGGTATCAAATCTCGCTATCTTATGAAATTACTAGCTCTAGGCAACGACACGGTCTGTTACCCGAATTCTTCCTTAATTTTAATTTAACCGCGAGACGCTCTACGATTAAACCTGACTTCTTGTATAGTCCAGAAAAACGTTTTCAAGATTTAATACAATTAGCCGCTTTACGAATTAGAAAAATAGGCTAGACTAATTAGTAAACTCAACCGCGTTCGTTCACTTAATTAGGCCGTGTTATCCCCGGTAGTTACCATCTTTCGGTTACCTCTTATGAATTAAACACAACAACAATTACGGATTGCAGGTCTAACTCATATGTAGATATGAAAAGTCTAATCTAGATGATCAATCTAAACAAGACTAACACATCATGGTGAATTATTCAAAATAACACAAGTAATTCCAAAAAGATATTAAAATTATCAACCATGAAAATCAATCAAACATCGTCAAGTCGTAGGGTTCGACTTCCCCGGAACTAGAAATAAAATCTAAGCTATCATACTAATATAAATAAAAGAAAGAGAATAAGAATATCCCCTTTCGTGTGCGGGTGCGGCCGCGTGTTGATCGAGTTCCTCGCGTCTGTTATGCGTGTATATGTATTGCGACTGCGGCTCCTTTTTCTTTCGCGTGAATATGTTTTTTTTTTTTTGTTTTTTTCTTGTGGCTGCGTGTATATGTCTCCGCAAATAAATCCTTTCCCTAGTGGCTCAAGTTTCTTGTCCTCCAATTTTGCGTGAGTCCTGCCCTTTCAATTTCTCCAATTAAGTTAATTGCCCAAAGTTGGGCTTAATTAACTCATGCATTTAATATGTGGGTTTAGTAATTTTCAACCTTCTAATAGACTTTAATAATTGAGTTAATTACCCCTTGCACGGCCCATTAAAAAAATATATCCCATTTAACGAGAGCAATAATTTTTTCGCACATCAGAATCAATTAAGTCAAAATTACGATTGTTTTTAACATTTCAATTCCACTTCTCGCATTTTCCTTCCATCACTTCTCCTCTTCCTTTCTCTTTCACTTCTCCTCCTCTCTCCTCTTCCTTTCTCTTTCTTTTTCCTTCTTATTTCTCCAGATCCGAATGTGTGTAGGAACGACATAGATCCATGTTGATGGGATAATATGACTATCTTTTTCACAACTTGCCACCGCCTCCGCCTCCCCACGCGCTCCTGTTCGGACCTCTCTCAACCGACCGCAAGCTTCACATGGCCGCTTAGACAGTAATCATCCAATAGATCCACGCCGGTGATGAAGGTGGTATTTGAAAAGGTGTGCTCTACTAATTTATTTTTATTTTTTTTTGTTGGGGATCTCATTGATTGGCATTTGAATCTCAGATCTGGTTGGATTTTATTTGAATTTTTGCTTAATTTTCCTTTGATTTTTGAAACAACGATTTGATTTTTCGCTCTTGAATGAAAATTCTCGTCGGTGTTTGTCCCATTTTTGTGTCTTTATTTCATGTTTATTTTCTTTTTGTTTTCCCCCATTTGTAGGTTTTTCGTAGCTTATTTGGTCCATTTCTTTTGTTTTGTGCTTTTGTCTTTAGTTTATATTTTTGTGTCTTTTTGCCGTGTTTTGCTTCGTGTTTTTCTGTGGTTGCGTTTTTCAGGAGGTAGGATGTGCCGGTCGAGGTTGGGACTGCTTGAGCCGAGACTTTGAAATCGAGAATTCCCGTGGCCGAGCCCAGAAAACGACAAAGAGGACTGAAGGACAGACTAATAACTGTTCCTAGAATTTCTCGTGACTCGCGAGTCGTCTCGCGACTCGCGACTCGGGTCACGACTCGCGAACATGTCGCGACCCGCGAGAAAAACTGGGGCTAAAGTGCAGTTGCGAGACGATGTCGCGACTCGCGAGACGGAGTCGCAACTCGCAACCCAAGTCGCGACCAGCCTCAGAAGTTTATCATTTTGAAGACGCGCGACTCGCGAGGATGTCGCGACTCGCGACCGAGAAGAAGACGATCTCGCGACTCGTGACTCAAGTTGCGACTTAACCGGCGCGAATTTCGAGGACGGGATTTTTAGAGCAGATTTCGATCCTAGGGTTCATTATTCACTTCCAGACTTTGTTTTTTACGTTCTTTCTCTAGAGAAACTCATTCCTTTTCATCTTTCTGCACTTTTGATTTGTTTTGGAGATTGAAAAAACTCCTATTTCTTGCTTTGGATTTGGGTGCACTTGGATTTGACATTGGATTCTTATCATTAATCGTAAGTTATTTTTCTCAATTGCTTTGTTGATGATGATGACTTGGGTTTATATGAATGTTGATATTAAATTCGTTATGAGTAGCTAAATCCATTCGCTAGGGACAGGGAATGATTGATTAGGTTCGTTCTAATTGAGTGCTTTTGATTGTTCATCTCTACGCGAGTTGTGTGAATCATAGGGTTAGTAGATTGATCACCTTTCTAACCTAGATAATCAACGTGTAGAACCGAGAGGGGAGACGTTGGTCGAATTAGGCTCGTTTAGAATAGATTTGTTCGGAAACGTATTATCTATGTGTTGTTGTAATTGATAGTTGATCGTTTACATTCACTCTCTTGTTACGAAGAGTTATTGAGAGTGAACCTCTGAATGAGAAACGATTCAAGACCTTTAACCGAGCAATCGATTGCCGGTGATTGGGTTAGAACCGAAAGCGATTATCCCTGATTCCCTAGCGCTCTAATCATTCAGTAAATTCATTAGCTATTTTACTTTCATTTTATTCAGTTTAAATCAGTAGTTGATAATTGAATCTCAAAAATGTTGAATTAGAGCGTTTAGAAAATTTTCTTCTCTTTTTCGTGATTGAATAAACGCACAA